CACTAAACCAATTGTTTTTCTTATTTCATTTATCTTAAAAATAAACTTAAAATAGTTCAATGCTCAATTTTCAAAATTTGAAACTCTGCATCTAAAGCAGTGGGCAGGATGTAATTCTACCATGGTAGCATCGATCAAGTGATTCTTTATGGGCTAAAGTACCACGAATGAAGGAATGACTGTATGAATGGTGAACATTTTCAACACAAACTGAAACATGGCTTATACAAGCCAGTCTTTCCTAACTTATGATGCATTAGTATTTTTGGCCTCCATGAGAGAAAAGATCAAGCAGCAGTAGAGTTGGCGTTTGATACATAAAACTTTCAAAAATATTTTTTATAAAGAAAGAAATGGGCATCAATGTTCTGTAATTTTTTCTCTTACGCAAGGTGGATTTGAAGTATTTACCATTATAATCCCTTTGGATGTTTTTGTTCTGAATCTCTGTTACCCTTCTGCACCTTCCCCTCTACTCTACTTTACTTTTCCTAAATATTCTATATTCCTAAAAGGTAACATTTTTTGAAGACTTCATTGTTCCATGCCTTATAATTTTGGGAGATAAGACAGTATGTAAATTTAAAAGGTAGTCAATTCTACTGGAGAAAACAAGAATGATCTAGGGATACGATCAAAGAACTAGAAGGCAACTTCTCTGAGTTCTTTTCTTAATCTGAGATCACATATTTAATTTAACTTGAATAATTATTTTATCTTCCTGCCTCCTAGGCACTAAACTGGACAAATATATAAGTCAACTTCATAAAAACTAGTTACCTCACCTTTCCCTTAGAGATAGATAGACTATTATAAAGCCATGCAAAGGTACTCTCTATCCATCTGAAATTGTGCAAGAAAGAAAATAACCTATCCCCGTTATGAGTGTGATGGAAAAGGGCTCCATTTAAGCTACAGAATTTAACTCTAAAGAATTCTTCAGAGAACATTGAGTGCTTTGTCCTGGCTCACTCCCAGAAAGTGGTGGTGTGGGTAGTGGTGTTCCCTCAAGTTCTCCCATTATGCAAACCAAAAATGTGCAAATGAGCCATTCCTTTTTAAAGTAAGTAATATTATTTTTTTAACCTGGTATGTATTTTTCAATATTAAAGGGTATATCCCTACCCAAAATGGAAGCAGTAAAGGATAATCTATGGATTTGTCCTAGATACAAGAAAAAAATCTTAAATCCTTTGTTTTAATTAATACATTTCTTATATATTGCAGGTGGGCATGCAACACAGTTCAGCCAGTTTGAAAAAAAAATTTTTGCAGTCCCTTATAAAGGTAAACATGCATATATCATGTGATTCAACAATGTCATTTTTCAGATATTTACCTCAAAACAATCAATTTACCCAAAAACTCATATCAAGTGTTTACAGTGATTTTATTAATCAAAGTCCCAAACCCTTAAACAACCCAAATGTCCTACAACTGTGAAAGGATAAAAAGAAAACCAACAAAAAAAAACAACTCCTGTATATCCAGACTATAAGAATATTGCTCAACTATAACAACAAACTACTGACACATTCAAAAACAAGGGTGAATCTCAATTATAATATGCTAAGTGACAGAAGTCAGTTTCAAAAGACTACACATAGTATTATTCCATTTATATGACATTCTGAAATATATAAAACTATAAAAGTAACATGCAAATCAGTGTTTTCCAAGGATTTAAACCCATGTGAAGGGTGATAGGACTATTTTTTGTTTTCACTGTGCTATTGGTCACATGACTCTATGCATTTTTTAAAGCTCACCAGAAAGAGTGAATTCTACCAAAGGTAAATTTAAAAGGTAAATAAAATGGTAGAACATTATGTAAAAG